CCCTCCCCTCCCCTCCTCCCTCTCCCTCTCCCTTTCATCCTCCATGCAGGAGGGCAGCTAACAACACCCCCAAAGGGGCTCAGGCTGCCATGAGGGGCCTGAGGACATTCAGAGCAGGTCCCCTGCCGCCCTTGTTGTCCCACCGCTAGCAGAAGGTTTCCTTACCCTGTTCAGCCCTTTGCCCAGGCGCTTGAATCCTTCCTACGGATGAGAACAATATCAGCACCAGCAAGACTGACACCCGGGCTCTGTTCAGAGCAATGCAGGCTGTGCCAGAAGCAGGGGGTAATCAGCACAGTAATTAAATGTGCAAATAATGGGAATTTGGGAGTTATAACAAAAGGCAGAGAAATAATCCGGGGGGGCTTGGAGAAATTAGGAACACAGAGCAAAATCTAATCAAGCAGAAAATAGCCCGACTGGAGCCAACAGCTGGGGGCTAAGGCAGCTGGCCTCGGAGCGCTCCTCCCCTGGCATCTGGGGGTGTCTCCAGTGACATTTTTGGGGTAGAATAAGAGTTTTTGGAGAGATCTGTTCCTGCTTGGTGAGCAGGGCTGGCTGCAGGCTGGGTTCTTGGGAAAAGTTCCCAGATGTGCGCTATTGGTGGACGGCAGATTTTGGATGTAACATTGCTGGAAATAATCACCCAACGGAGCAGCCTGGGGATGGAGGTGGAGGAAAGATACCTGAGACCCATGGGAAGCTGGGTTGTTTTGGGCAAAAAAGTGGTTTTTCATTGCAATGGGTTTGCTGGGGCTTAAATATTTTGTGCAGACGTACCGTTCCCAGCTGCAGCGTATCCCTGAGATGAGCTCGGACACACAGGGTGTTCTGGCCGGGGGGAGAGAAGCAGAAAACATGAGCTGGTTTTGGTCTGCTGGACACAAATCCCCTTGCGAGCATCCTGGGAGGCACTCGGGGTAGGGGAGAGCAGCAAGCTGGAGCCAGGCTCTGGTGCAATCGATTCATGCTCATGCTAAGTCTTGCCTGGGTTTCCATGGGGGAAATCCAGCCGTTGCATCCCTGCAGAAGTGGCCCATGAGGCTGGAGGTCAGACACAGGGGACTCGGTGCTGTGCCATGGGCATCTTGGGGACCAGACCTCAGGTGGCACTGGCAGGGCTGCGCGATGTCCCCGGCTACTGCGCTGTGGTCGTTCATGGGGGCATGTTGCCTCGGAGGACCTGCAAGAGGACATCCCATGGGATGGAAGGACCTTCTCCCTCCACCAACGGAGACCCCAAACCTGTGCTGCACAGGCGGGGATGCCTCCATCGGACAGCAGGCACCGCAAAGCCTCGTTGATCCGATCCCAGCCTGACATCCAAAGCTATCTCAGACTCTCACTCAGACCTGTCTCCCAACAATCCCTGCAAAAAACACCCCACCATGTTTGCTCCAATGTCCCTGAGGGCCTCAGAGGGATGAGCTGCAGCTGCCTCCCGGCCCCTCCAGGCACTTTCTGCCAGCACCTGAAAGGACCTTTCAATAAGTCCCAATCAAAGAGGCAGTGTGGAGAGGAATGAACTGCTCTGATGGGAAAGTGCATCCCACCAGCCCCCTCCCCATCCTTGTTTTCCCATTTCCCGAGGTGACCTGGCAGCAGGCTTGAAGACAACACAAGGCAACGGCCCTTAAACTGCAGATCTCATTGCTACCGGGTGTTGCGGCTGCTGAAAGTTCACCTGGGCCCAGCAAGGCGTATGCAGCAAGGAAAAGGCTGTTAAAGACAGGATCGCCTCTGGCTCGGGATGTCCCAGAGCCCCAGATGGCCAAAGCCCAGGAGAAGGTAGCAGGGAACGCTGGACGCATCTTTTCCTTCTTATCCCCCAGCTGGGAGACCTTTGCTCTGTCCCAGGGCAGCTGTGTTTGGGTTCAGTATTCCCAGATATCTTCCAGCTCAGAAATGCAGCCCCAGAGACTGGAAAACAGAGGCACTGAGAGCACGAGCCACGGGGCAGGACCAGACCCGTATCCCACCGGCTGCAATGGATGGGACATGCAGAGACCACAGGGCACTGGGACCTGGGATTTTAGGAAAAATCCCCAAGCCATAAGCTGTGAGGTGCTGCCAGTGGGGCTGAGCAGCCCCAGCACTGGGACCAGTAGCAGGGCTTGGCTAAACCTGCAGGCCCCTGCTCCCAGCTCGCATCCCTGTGGGGAAGGTAGTCCTGCAGGCTCAGAAATAGCATCAGGGGGGCATGAGCCAACCCTGCCCCACAGCCTTTTGCAGCGGGGGGGTTATTCTGGGGAAACACTGCGGGGAAAACCAGCCCAGGGATGTTTCTCCGCCGGCCAAACCTCCGGGGAGGGTTTGTTTGGCCCCAGCAGCTATAGCAACAAGCCCTGCTGCCTGCTGCAGCGCTGCTCGCCCCATCGCCCGTGTGCCTGCCCCAGCCATGGAGGTGGGGGCACCAGGGGACCCCCATGGGGTCTGGGGGGACACCCCAGCAGGGACCTACATCATCCCGCACGGGGTAAGCCCTGGAGAGTGGTTCTGTCTCTGGATTTATGGGATAGTGAAGGCTCACGAGGGCGGGGAAAATGGGATGGAGTGGGAGGAGAGAGGGGCTGGGGTCAGGATTTTGGTTGGGCACTGGGGGTTTGGGGCAGCAAAACTGCTTTTTGCAGAATGCCTCCCTGCTCCCTGCAGACCCTGGGACCCCAGGAAGGCCACTGCTGCACAGGGACATGTCCCCAGGGGTGGGGACTTGCCAGGCGTGCAGTTCATCCAGCCTTGCAGGGCTGCACCCCCGGAAAGATAGGGGTCAGTGCAAGCTACCCCCTCCTCCAAGGCTCTCATCCCTGCTCCCCTCAGGGCCAGCATTGCTCTCCTCCCCGCCACCAGCTCCCATCCCCTCTCCTCCCTGCCTGCTGCTCTAACAGGGCGCTAAATTAAACCAAGAGTGGGAGATCCCTGTGGTTTTCCTTCCCCTCCTGCCTTTCAGCTCCGGCCCCAGCAATCTCCCCAGGGAGCCGTGCCCGTGCCCCAGCAGCCGGTGATGATCCTCCAGCAGCTTCCCGGGACCACAGCTGCCCTGGTCCCTGCTACCAGACCCCAGCATGTCCGGGGAGGTGCGTGACAGTAGGTGTCGTAGAGGTCAGCGTTAAAACCAGCTTAACTTCATCCTCTTCTTTTTTGCCAGCCTTTTCAGGATGAGGGGCAGGCAGGGGGGCTGTGCCCACCCTCCGCAGCCTCGCAGGGCTGGCCACACCATGCTTTGATGGCTGCTTTGCCTGATGGGATGCGATTTTTTGTGGTTTTATCAACCTTGAAGTCTGGGCTGGCTTTAGCCGCACCAGGATGCTCCCAGGGAAGGGTTTTGGACTGTTTTTTGAAATCCACTTGTCTTTGCTAACCAAAACCCCGTTTCACGTGGGTGTAGGGACCATAACTAGGGAAAGTCAGGGTGATACAGGCTCCTTGGCTACACTAGGTGGGACCAGAGAGGGACACAGCCAGCTCCAGAGCCCGTGGGACGTGCAAGCAGGAGCAAAGACCAACTACAGGGGCTTCACCCAACCCTGTGCAGCACAAGATCCAGCAATCTGGACTCGGGGAGCAGACAGCAGAGACAGGGGTGTTTGTGGTCCCTTGGACATGCCATGGGCGAAGCTGTGCAGCATTGCAGGGAGGGGGGAAGGTTGAGCTGACTTTAAAAATACATGGAGGAAAGGGCACACTGAAAATCAGTGTGGAAAGAAAACGGAGACCCCAGCCCCTTGCAGCCCTGTGGTGGAGCTGGCTGCCTTTCCAGTGGGACGGGTGGGACCCATTAAGAGCTGCCAGCCCTTCGCATGATTTCTCCTCCCAGTTCAATGCCTGGCTGCTGGCCTGCTCCCTCCTCACAGCTCCGGCTCCGGCCACCTCCTGCGTTGTGCTGCAATGCTCCTCACTGGGGTGGAGCTGCCTCATGGGTGCCCTGGAAGCCCATCCCTGCAGCTGTGAAAGCATTTTGGGATCTGGCACATGAGGCGTGGGGGATGCCTAAACTGTGTTTTACCCAGGCTCCAGCTAACGGGGGCTCACAGGTCTCAGGCAGAAAGCCTGCAGGATCTCAGAGGCAGCCCCTTACAGGCATTTTGCAGGGGAACTTCACACCCGTGGCAAATGCAGATGCTTTAGTGGGGATGCAGAGCCAGACACCGTGCTTCCTCGGCAGCTGGATGGCCCTCAGCAGCTGCCCTGCAGCTTGGGCATCCAGCCAAAGGGACTGGGGTGATAACCTGTATGTGCACGGCCACCCTGGGTCCCAGCTCCTCACCCAGCAGGAGCTGAGGAGGCACCGAGCATCCCCAGCCTGCTCCTCGCCTGGACACAGCTCTTGCCTCTGGGAATGGAGATGGGATCAGGCCCTGTGGTCCAGCCCCAGCTCCTGCCTCCTTAGGGGGTTTCTGAGCTCCCCCCATGCGTGATGTGGTGCAAAGCAGAGCTGACCCTGGCGTGCTCCCCATGTGGTGACACCCCAAGGACACCAGCTCTGCTGCCTGGTGCCAAGGCAGAAGCTTGCCAAGCTGCTAAGTGCTGCCAGGACCAGAGCAATTCTCCTCCAAATGGGTGGTAAGTCTGATGCCTCCAGCACCACTAATCACCTTTTGTGAGCAGCCTTCAGCAAGCCAGACCAGATGTTTAATCACATTTGCAGAGAAGAAAAGGCTGAAATATGGCTATTTTAAAGCTTTATCCAAGCAAAATAATTTTTAAATGCCACATGGGCCTTCCAAATTGGGGTGGGGGGAGTCTGGCTTAGATCCCACTGCTTGGGCACATGGTGCCGCCCCATCCCAGGCACTCATCCCATGGCTGCGTTTCTCATGCCCTTGCTCTGATGCACAGCCCCTTACTCTCTGGCAGATTTAATCGAGTTGATGATGATTCAAAACTCCCAAATGCACCAGGTGGTGATGAACAGCCTGGCTGTGTCGGCACTGACGTCCTTCGGGTTTGGGCCATCCCCAGACACTGCCCAGGTAAGGGTTAGGGCTGCTGGGACCAGAGGACCAGGGGACCAAAGGGCCAAAAGGACCAAAGAGGTGGGCAGAGGGACCTTTCCAGAGCTGCTCAGGAGACCGGGGTGACCGTGCCCTGCTTTGGTACAGCATGGGAGCCCTCTGAGCACAGAAGCTGGGTGGTCTCAGCCCAGCTCAGTCCAGGCTCTGCAGCCCCTTGGGGTTTTGGGGCTTTTTGTGTTTGTTTGACCCCCCAGCTCTGCCAGCACAGATCTCATCCAGGGTGCTTGGAGGAGACTTAGCCCAGCTGGGATGAGCCAGGACCCTCCCTGCGTGCTGCAGCGTGGGCAGGGTGCAGCAGTGGGCTGCGGTGGCCGAGCAGCAAGGCTGAGCCCTATTTGTTAGGCAGGATGGCTCTGCAAAGGATTTAATTTAAAAGTCCATCTTGAACCAAAATCATATTAAACATTTCATGTCTGTGAGGGGAAACAAATACTGCCTTCTCGGCAGGGGCGAGAGCTGGGCTGTGGGCAGCTGCCTTGCTCGCTGCCAGCTGGCATCTCTCGGCATGCACCCTCCCGTGCCACCCACCCAGCGCCCACCAGTTCACTACTGGCCAAGACCAGACCCTGACTGTCACGTCTCAGCAGCCGGATCAAAGGGGCTTTTCCCAGCAGCGTTTGGAGGTCCCATCCGCGGGGCTGCCACCTCCCTGCGTCCCCATGAGCCGGGTTCCCACGCTGGCTGACCGCGGGCATTCTGTGGGATCGAGCCCACCCAGCCAGACCCCGGGAGAGCCGCGCCGTGCTGGTGGCATCACAGCCAAGCACAGCTCCGTGGGAACCCTCTTGCTGGTGCTTTGGGGAGCAGCTCCCCAGGCAGACGGCTGCGAAAGGGGCCCGGCACAGCCCTGCCTTTTGTTCCTCCCTGCAGGCGATGGCGGTGCCTTTGCAGACGGGAGAGGAAGAGGAGGCTGTGGTTTTCCACCATCACTATGTCCCCTACCCTGGTCCTGCTCCTATCCTGGCGTGGCCAGTCCCAGCACAGGATCGGCGACCGGCGGCTGTGCGGTACCTGGGCACAAGCTCATTAGCTGAGGATGGGGAGGTGTGAGTAACGAGGGTCCTGCTTTGTGCCACCCAGTGCGGGGCTGCGTGCGTGTACCTGTGGTCCCTGGGGTAACAGGATGTCCAGCCCAAGCTGGGACACGAGGGGCAATGCCAGGCTGGCACTTACTCCTGTCCTTGCTCCTCTCCGGCAGCGCAGTGCCCCCGCCTCCACCCCCTAGTGCCACGGGGACCGTGGGAGCCGATGTCCCACCAGCATCAGGTAAGGGCACGTTCTCACCATGTCCTTCAGTGGGGAACATCTTGCCCTCAAGCGTGCACCAAATGGGCAGCCCCTGGTCAGAGGCTGAACCTTCCCTGCTCCCTCCCTCCATCGGGTCCTGGGGGTGGCCCTTGCACATCCTCCAGGTCCCCTTTTCTCTCCACAGAGTACTATGACATGGTGGAGAGGCTGTGAGCTCCGTGCTTCCCAAGATGGCTTCTGCTGCATGTCCCAGCCCTCAACCCCAGAAGATCCTGCAGGTGCTGAGCTTGAGTGCTCCATGATACACGTAGTTTTGGGGTGGCTTGCAGGGAGGAAGTGAATGTACCCAGTGCACTTTGCTGGGCATATTTGCTTCCTTCCCGCAGGCCACCCCAACGCAGAGGGTGTCACGAAGCCTGTCACCAAACCCCAGGTGACAGCATGGCCCCAAACAGGGACAGGTTTTATCTCCATGCTCTGCAGAGGGCTCACCTCCAGCAGGTTAGGTGTGACATCCCAGTCCTGGCTGGACAACGTGTCTCTGCCAAGCCAGGACAACTCTGCGGCACGAGCTGTGCTGTGGAGGAGGCGAGTGATGCCAGCCCAGGTGGTCCTGGTCTTCATTAGTCCCTTCAGATCTCAATGCAGCACATTGCCTGTAATTAATTTGCTTTGTTAAGAAAGCGTCCTGCTGTCACTAATTAAGCATCTGTAATTACCCAGACTGTTGGCTTTGTGCCTGAATGCAGGGCTTCCTCCACACTGTGGGTGTGAGGGGGGGGGTGTGAGCCTCTTGCACCTGGTGGGAGGGGTGTATCAGTGGGTGTTGGGGCAACGCGGGGAGCTGCGGAAGGTTGGTGCTGCAAGCAGAGGGGGGATGCTCCTGGCTGAGCACAGTATTGGGAAAGCTGGATCTGGCCTGTGTCTCGCTTCTGGTGGGGATGTGATCGGGGCAACAGCCTGGAAAGGGGTGGTCATGGATTCGGTGTCCCCTCTGCTCACCAGAAAGAAAGGGGAAGTGGGGACAGATGCATTTTGGGTGCTGGAAGCTGTCCCCTGCCTCTGCTGTCTCCCCAACCCCACTTAGGAGTGACAGCCCTGCTCTGACCCAGCGTGGTTACAGGCTAGTTGTCAGGAGGCTTTGCCTTAAGCGCAGAGCTCCTAGCAGGAGACTTCAAGGCTGGTGGTCATGTGGAGCTCGGAGCATGCAGAAAGATGGTGCCTAGGCAGTTGCACCTTAAATCCCCTCCTTCTGCCCCCATTGGGCATGAGGACTGCCTTGTCTCTCTTGTCGCGTCCCAATGGCAAGGAGGGTTTATCTCCCCCATCCCAGGACTGAGCCGTGCTCTGGCACAAGCAGATCTTCCCCTGCAGCGAAGCTCAG